TATCAAGAATTAAAGAGGAGATATCACTAAATATCATAGTGAGATAAAATGATAATAAGTATATATCAATTGACCACACAGTTTAAATGGGTAAATTTTTTGCAAGACAAAACATAACTAAAATGACCCAAGAAGTAGAACATCTGAACAGCCTTGTATTTGTTAAAGAAATTGAATTTGAAATAGAAACCCTTCCTATAAAGAAAACTACAGACCGAGACAGTTTTACTGGTAAATTTGACAAAACATTTAAGAAAATAGAGGAGGAGGAACACTTACGAACTTGTTTCCTGAAGGTGGCATAATCCTGATATCAAAAGCTGAGAAAGACGTAGATTACAAGAAAAGAGAATTGCCGATCGATATTCCTCACACACACTGGAACAAATACCACTGACAAAACATTAACAAATCAAAACATCAATATATGAAAAGAATAACGTGCCATGACTAAATGTGGGTCATCCAGGAATGCAGGGTCTGTGTAATATTAAAAAAATCATTCAGTATAAATTACCACATTAACAAATGAAAAGAGAAAAATGATAAAATATCAATAGATGGACAAAAATCATTTGACAAAACGCAGTACCCATTCATGATAAAACATCTCAGCAAACTAGGAGTAGAAAGGAGCTTCCTCAATCTGATGGAACTCTATGAAAAACCTCCAGGTAAGCATCATACTTAATGATGAAATATTGCACAGACTTGCTATAAAGCTGGGAGGCAGTGTTGTCTCCTCTAAGCACCCCTGTCAACAGTTTACTGGAGGTTTTATCCAAGGTAAGTAAGATAATGCAAGAGAAACAAATTACCCACTGCTTTCGAGTTGATTCCAGCTCATAATGATCCTGTAGGACAGAGAAGAACCGTCCCATAGGGTTTCCAAGGCTGTAATATTTACGGGAGCAGACTGCCACATCTTCCTCCCACAGAGCTGCTGGCGAGTTCAAACCGTCGACCGTTCGGTTAGCGGCCAAGCCCTTTAACCACTGCAACACCAGGGCTCCCTGAGATAAAGATTAGAAGTAAAGAAATCAAATGGTCTTTCTATGCCTGTTACATGATTGTGTCCATAAAAAATACCAAAGAAACTACGAAAACCCTGCAAGACTAGTAAATGAATTTAACAAGGTTACACAATATGAACTACGTACACCAAAACCAAATGTATTTTTATATGTTGTTGCTAGGTTCTGTTGAGTTGCTTCCGACTCATAGCAACCCTACATACAACAGAAGGAAATACTGCCAGTCCTGTGCCATCCTTACAACTGATGCTATGTTTGAGCTCATTGTTGCAGCAACTCCTGTCAATCTATCTCGTTGAGAGTCTTCCTCTTTTTCACTGACCCTCTACTTTACCAAGTGTGATGTCTCCAGGAACTGGTCCTCCCTGATAACGTGTCCAAAGTACATAAGATGAAGTCTCGACATCTTTTCTTCTAAGGAGCATTCAGGTGGTACTTCTCCCAAGACAAATGTGTTCATTCTTCTTGAAATTCATAATATATTCAATATTCTTCAACAACACCATAATTCAAAGGCATCAATTCTTCTTCCGTCTTCCTCATTCATCGTCCGGTTTTCGCAGTATATGAAGCAACTGAAAATTCCATGGTTTGGGTCAGGTGTACCTTAGTCTTCAAAGTGATATCTTTGCTTTGTAACACTATAGAAGTCTTTTGCAGCAGATTTGCCAAATGTCATACGTCGTTTGATTTCCTGACTGCTGCTTCCATGGGCATTGATTGTGGATTCAAGTAAAATGAAATCCTTGACAACTTCAATCTTTTCTCAATTTATCATGATATTGCTTACTGGTCCAGCTGTGAGGATTTTTGTTGTCTTTATGTTGAGGTGTAATCCATACTGAAAACTGTAGACTTTGATCTTCATCAGTAGATACTTCAAGTCCTCTTCACTTTCAGCAAGCAAGGTTGTGTCATCTGCATAATGAAGGTTGTTAGAGTCTTCCTGCAATCCTGATGCTGTGTTCTTCTTCATATAGTCAAGCCTCTAGGATTATTTGCTCAGCATACAGATTGAATATGTACAGTGAAAGGAAACAACCCTGAAGCACACCTTTCCTGATTTTTTTGCCTTTCCATAGTCAATAAAACACAGATAAACATCTTTCTGGTATTCTCTGCTTTCAGCCAAGAGCCATCTGGCATCAGCAATGTCCATGTCCTCTTCTGAATCCGGCCTGAATTTCTGGCAGTTCCCTATCGATGTACTGCTGCAACTGTTTTTGAATTATCTTCAGCAAAATTTTATTTGCGTGTGACATTAATGATATTGTTCGATAATTTCCTGCATTCTGTTGGATCACCTTTCTTTGGAATGGGCACAAATATGGATCTCTTCCAGTCGACTGGCCAGGTAGCTGTCTTCCATATGTCTTGGCATAGATGAGTGAGCGCTTCCAGCATTGCATCCATTTGATGAAACATCTCAATTGGTATTCTGTCAATTCCTGGAGACTTGTTTTTTGAAATTTCTTTATAGCTTGAACTTCATCCTTCACTACCATCGGTTCTTGATCATATGCTATCTCCTGAAATGGCTGATCGTAGACTAGTTCTTTTTGGTCCAGTGATTCTGTTTATTCCTTCCATCTTCTTTTGATGCTTCCTGCGTAGTTTAATATTTTCCCCATAGAATCCTTCAATATACCAACTAAAGGCTTGAATTTTTGCTTTGGTTTTTTCAGCTTGAGAAATGTTAAGCTTGTTCTTCCCTCCTGATTTTCTAACTCTAGGTCTTTGCCCATTTCATTATCATACTTTACTTTGTTTTCTCAAGCCACGCTTTGAAGTCTTCAGTTCAGCTCTTTTACCTCATCATTTCTTTCATTCACTTTAGCTACTCTACATTCAAGAGCAAGTTTCAGAGTCTTTTCTGACATCCATTTTGGTCTTTTCTTTCTTCCTTGTCTTTTTAATGACCTTTTGATTTCTTCATGTATGATGTCCTTGATGTTGTCCTACAACTCGTCTGGTCTTTGGTCATTAGTGTTCAATGTGCCAAATCTATTCTTGAGTTGGTCTCTAAATTCAGGTTGGATATACTCAAGGTCGTACTTTGGCTCTCCTGGACTTGTTTTAATTTTCTTCAGCTTTAACTTGAACTTGCATATGAGCAACTGATGGGTCTGTTCTGCAGTTGGCCCCTGGCCTTGTTCTGACTGATGATATTGAGCTTTTCCATCATCTCTTTCCAAAGACATAGTTACTTTGATTCTTGTGTATTCCAACTGGCAAGGTCCATGTGTACAGTCAACATTTGTTGGTGAAAAAAAGGTATTTGAAATAAATAAGACATTGGTCTTGCAAAATTCTATCATGCGATCTCCGGCATTGTTTCTAAAGCCAAGGCCATATTTTCCAACTACTGATCCTTCTTCTTTGTTTCCAACTTTAGCGTTCCAATCGTCAGTAATTATCAATGCATCGTGATTGCATGTTTGATCAACTTCAGACTACAGAAGTTGGTAAAAATCTTCAATTTCTTCTTCTATCGCCTTAGTGGTTGGTGCTAAATTTGAATAAGTAATCATATTAACTGATCTTTCTTGTAGGTGAATGGATATGATCCTATCACTGACAGCGTTGTACTTCAGGACAGATCTTGAAATGTTCATTTTAATGATGAATGTGATGCCACTCCTCTTCAATTTGTCATTCCCAGCATAGGAGACCATATGTTATTCCAATTCAAAATGGTCAACAACAGTCCATTTCAGTTCACTAATGCCTAGGATATCAATGTTTGTGCATTCCATTTAATTTTTGGAAATTTTTATATACTTGTAAAAAATCGGAAAATGAATTAAAATTTAATATTATTTACAATGTCATAAAAAATAAAATACTTAGGAGTAAATCTACAGAACACTACATAATATTCCTGAGAGAAATTGAAGAAGATCTAAATAAATGGAAAAATAAACCATGTTGATGGACTGGAAGACTTGATACTGCTAAGACACCCATTTTTCCCAAATTAATCTGTAGATTCATTAGAACCCTATCAAGATCCCAGAAGGCTTTTTTTTTTTTTTTTTTTGAGCAATTTACAAGGGCTTCTAATATTAGTATGTAAGTGTAGAGGACCTAGAATAGCCAAAACAATTTGAAAAAGAAGAAAAATGTTGGACAACTTAAACAACCTAGTTTCGAGAATTAATAGAAAGCTTCAGTGATCAAGGCAGTGTGGTACTGGCCTTAGTGTAGATGAACAGGTCAATGGAACAGAAACAAAGCCACACATAAATGATCACTTGTGTTTTTTGACAAAAGGTACATATTAATCCTATGCAGAAAGGATAGTCTTTTCACAAATGATGCTGGAACAACTGGATAACTATCATGGGAAGAAAATGAACCTTTATCCAGGTATTTGTGTTCCAACAAACACGACATTAATTAGTGGTGGATCATAGACCTAAATGTAAAAATTAAAACTATTAAGCTTTGAGGGGAAAACATAGATGAATTTTTCTATTTTCGGACTGGGCAAAGATTTCTAAAGAGACAAAGTACTAACTATAAAAAATTGATAAATTGCATTTATTAACTTCAAAAACTTCTGCTCATCAAGGACACAGCTAAGAAAGGCATCAACCAAAGGACTAATGGACCACATGAACCACAGCCTCCACCAACCTGAGCCCAGAACAACTAGGTGGTGTATAAATTTTTGAAGGAGAAAACAATTTGCACTGTAAACTTTCACCTAAAGCACAATAAAATTTAAAAAACAAAACAAAAACTTGACGACAAAAAAAAAAAAAGAAAATGCATCGAAGAGCCATTGGGAGAATAATAAATAATAAGTTGCAGTTCCACATAATAATCCATGTATGAAGTACAATGAAAATAATATTCCATTTATAGTAAAAACAATAGATAAAATACTTGAATTCCAGGCATAAACTTCTAATGAAGAAATAAAGGAAAAAATAACTAGAAACTTATACCTTATACTGGCTTGTACAGACTATAATAAAGATGACAACACCTCCTAATTTAGTAAAGATATTTTAATGTGAGACTAATTTTTCTCAGGATATTTTAAATAACATTTTAAAATGGGATTCCAGGTCAAGGAAACATGCCTTTGTTTTAAGTTTACTGACTATTCCTAGTAGTGGATTTTTATCGGATTGAATTGGGGCAATCAGGAATTCTGTAAGTGGCCTTTGATTTGTTAGTGGACATTCAACCAAAGCTTCCAAAAAAGGTTAAGAATACTGGAATGAAAATTAGGCCATGAGCAGCCCCAAACACCATAACAAGAAATATAATCTTAAAAAATGTCCTGAAGATGTATGCGTTAGATGTATATAAAACACACACGCCTATTACTGTTGAAACTGCACTTTGTAACACCGGATAACCTAGTAGATACAATGCCTCAATTGCTTTTTGGTTTACTGAGGGCTTAGAACTGGAAACAAATGCATAGCATATGTGTGCAGAAAAATCGAAAGAAAACCCTATACAAATGACAAGATTCATCATGGATATGGAATCAAGACTGACATTCCAGAATGCCATGAAGCCTGTTACTCCCACAACCACAGAAGCAATAGCAAAAGTTACCCACAAGGAACACAGTGGATGAGGAATTAACAGTAAAGAAACAATGAACATAGCTAGTGATGCAACCGTGACACTTCGAATAGTATTTTCCACTATTACAGCATACTGATCAAAATAGATGAAGGCCTGGTTATACACCAATAGCGGAATTTCACACTTCGCAGCGATGCCTCGAAGCTGTTGTAACATCATCTTCTTATTGGTTGGAGTAGAAACATCCCTGGTCTGAATGAAGGCCCGGGAAGAAATTATTTCATTTGATGATGAAATATTAATATCATATACAAAATTTGAAAAATTCTTTAAAAATATGGGAATATTGTTTACAAAAGTATCCTTATCATTTATATCTTGTTTTGCTTCTTCCAAATACTGTACATATGTTCTTAACCAAAACTCTGTGAGATTTTTATCTACATACCTATTGTCTTCAAAATCTGTCATACACTGTTCCAATTTTTGCCTAACATCTTTATTCCAGTAGTCAACATTTTTAGTAACGACAACCATAACCATGGGGCCATACTCTGAAAAAAATTTTTCATCTACATCAAAATATGGTGTAACGTAGGAATCGTCACTTGCCAGATTTCGAACATCTAAACCTTCCTGCACTTGGGAACACCCATATATACTGCTTATGATATACAGAATGTATAGCAGCACTACAAAACACTTGGACTCAGTGCTTGTGAGAAAAGGGCCAAAATAGTCTCTAAAGAACAAATTCATTGGATGGGTAGCACTTCCATGTTCATCTGGGAGAGAACCAAATGGGAAACAGCAGGACCTTTTTAAAGAGGAGCATTTTTGGTCAGGAGTCTCTGGCTTTTTCAACCAGTGTAAACAGACTACTTCTCTCTTACCATCCAGAGCCAAAAATGCTCCAAAACAGGTGATGTTATAAAAATAACAAAAGAGCAGGGTTGTTCCTGTGTAGATGCAAAAGTACTGTACGGACCTGAAAGAGGTCACAACCCCTGTATAGAAGGCCAGGACGTTGGTGATGGTGGTGACAGTGATGGAGACGGCCACCTTTGAATAGACACTGGACAGTCGCTGTCTTATGTTCTCCATGAGGCTGGTCTTCTGCCAGGCAGAAATCATGATAAACATGTCATCGACCCCAATGCCTGTAAAAAGAGAAACTGAATCTTCATCCCTAACAATATTGATTGAAAATTAAACATATTGATTCAAACCATTTTCTTTCCATCTGTTAAGGTCTTATTTATCCTGGCCAATCTCTGCTTAGATATCACCTTCTCTGTGATGCTCCCTCTGATTGCCTCTGAAGCCACGACAGAATTCATCACTCCCTCCTCTGTAACAACTCTGGGCTTTGTGCATACTCCTATTATTTGCACACAGCACAGTACACTTCTAGTCGTCACGTAAGGTGTTTCTATGATGAGGTTAGGACACCTGCTTGACTGGGTAGAAGCTGAAGCAGGATTAACAATGTATCTTTGATTCCACTAGATTGCTTGAACGATCATTTTCTCCAAGTAAGCCATTTTCACACCAACACACAAGCACGTATAGCCAATATTCTGTTGCTTAAAATATAAGCTGGCCTTATATGTTCTACAGTTAGCACTGGCTATCTCTGTGGTATGATCTGAGTGGCACTGTACATTATCACACACACACACACACATACACACATACACACACGCAGTTTTCCTTCTAGTCTGTTTTTGATACCTTGGTTGTTGTTGTTGTTGTTAGGTGCTGTCAAGCTGGTTCCAGATCACAGCGACCCTACAGACAACCGAACAAAACACTGCCCGGTCCTGCGCCATGTTCACAATTGTTACGCTTGAGCCCATTGTTGCAGCCAATGTGTCAATCCATCTCACTAAGGGCCTTCCTCTTTTTCGATGACCGTCTACTTTACCAAGCATGATGTCCTTTTCCAGGAACTGATCCTTTCTGATATGCCCAAAGTATATAAGCCATAGTCTCACCACCCTTGCCTCTAAGGAGCATTCTGGTTGTACTTCTTCCAAGACAGATTTGTTCATTCTTTTGGCAGACCATGGTATATTCAATATGCTTCTCCAACACCACAATTCAAAGGCGTCAATTCTTCTTCAGTCTTCCTTATTCACTATACAGTTTTCACATGCATAGGATGCAATTGAAAATACCATGGCTCGGGTCAGGTGCACCTTATCCCTCAAAGTGACATCTTTGCTTTTCAACACTTTAAAGAGGTCTTTCCCAGCAGATTTGCCCAATTCAATGCGTCTTTTGATTTCCTGACTGCTGCTTCCAAGGGTGTTGATTGTGGATCCAAGTAAAATGAAATCCTTGACAACTTCAATCTTTTCTCCATTGATCATGATGTTGTTTATTGGTCCAGTTGTTAGGATCTTTCTTTTCTTTACGTTGAGGTGTAATCCATGCTGAAGGCTGTGGTCTTTGATCTTCATCAGTAAGCGCTTCAAGTCCTCTTCACTTTCAGCAAGCAAGGTTGTGGCATCTGCACAACGCAGGTTGTTAATGAGTCTTCCTCCAATCCCGATGCCACGTTCTTCTTCATATAGTCCAGCTTCTCAGATTATTTACTCAGCATACAGATTAAATAGGTATGATGAAAGGATACAACCCTGACACACACTCTTCCTGACTTTAAACCACACAGTATCTCCTTTTGCTGTTCAAACAGCTGCCTCTTGATCTATGTACAGGTTCCTCATGAGCACAATTAAGTGTTCTGGAATTCCCATTCTTTGAAAAGTTATCCATAATTTGTTGTGATCCACGCAGTCAAATGCCTTTGCATAGTCAATAAAACACAGGTAAACATCTTTCTGATATTCTCTGCTTTCAGCCAAGACCCATCTGACATCAGCAATGATATCCCTGGTTCCACGTCCTCTTCTGAATTTGGCTTGAATTTCTGGCAGTTCCCTGTCGATATACTACTGCAGCCACTTTTGAATGATCCTCAGCAAAATTTTACTTGCGTGCGACATTAATGATATTGTTTGATAATTTCCACATTCGGTTGGATCACCTTTCCTGGGAATAGGCATAAATATGGATCTCTTCCAGTCAGGTGGCCAGGTAGCTGTCTTCCAAATTTCTTGGCACAGACAAGTGAGCACTTCCAGTGCTGCATCTGTTTGTTGAAACATCTCAATTGATATTCCGTCAATTCCTGGAGTCTTGTTTTTCGCCAATGCCTTCAATGCAGTTTGGACTTCTTTCAGTACCATTGGTTCCTGATCATATGCTACCTCCTGAAATGGTTGAATGTCAGCCAATTCTTTTTGGTATTAATGACTCTGTATTTCTTCCATCTTCTTTTGATGCTTCCTACATCATTTAATATTTTCCCTGTAGAATCCTTCACTATTGCAACCCGAGGCTTGAATTTTTTATTCAGTTCTTTCAGCTTGAGAAATGTCGAGTGTGTTCTTCCCTTTTGGTTTTCTAACTCTAGGTCTTTGCACATGTCATTATAATACTTTACTTTGTCTTCCCGAGCTGCCCTTTGAAATCTTTTGTTCAGTTCTTTTAGTTCATCATTTCTTCTTTTTGCTTTAGCTACTCGACGTTCAAGAGCAAGTTTCAGAGTCTCTTCTGACATCCATTTTGGTCTTTTCTTTCTTCCCTGTCTTTTTAATGACCTTTTGCTTTCTTCATGTATGATGTCCTTGATGTCATTCTACAACTCATCTGGTCTTTGGTCATTAGTGTTCAATGTGTCAAATCTATTCTTGAGATGGTCTCTAAATTCAGGTGGGATATACTCAAGTTCATACTTTGGCTCTCGTGGACTTGTTTTAATTTTCTTCAGTTTCAGCTTGAACTTGTATGTGAGCAATTGATGGTCTGTTCCGCAGTCAGCCCCGGCCTTGTTCTGACTGATGATATTGAGTTTTCCATCATCTCTTTTCACAGATGTAGTCGGATTTGATTCCTGTGTATTCCATCTAGCAAGGTCCATGTGTCTAGTCACCGTTTATGTTGGTGAAAAAAGGTATTTGCAGAAGAAGTCGTTGGTCTTGCAAAATTCTATCATACGATCTCTGACATCGTTTCTATCACCAAGGCCATATTTTCCAACTACCGATCCTTCTTCGTTTCCAACTTTCTCATTCCAATCACCAGTCATTATCAATGAATCCTGGTTGCACATTCTGTCAATTTCAGCTGCAGAAGCTGGTAAAAATCTTCACTTTCTTCATCTTTGGCCTTAGTGGTTAGTGCATAAATTTGAATAATAGTCGTATTAACTGGTCTTCCTTGTAGGCATATGGATATTGTCCTATCCCTGACAGGGTTGTACTTCAGGATAAATCTTGGAATGTTCTTTTTGAAGATGAATCCAATGCCATTCCTCTTCAAGTTGTCATTCCTGGCATAGTAGACCCTATGACTGTCTGATTCAAAATGGCCAATACTAGTCCATTTCAGCTCACTAATGCCTAGAATATCAATGTTTATGTGTTCCATTTCATTTTTGATGATTTCCAGTTTTCCTAGATTAATACTTCGTATATGTCACATTCCAATTATCAATGGATGTTTGCAGCTGTTTCTTCTCATTTTGAGTCATGCCACATCAGCAGATGAAGGTCCCAAAAGCTTGACTCCATCCACGTCATAAAGGTCGACTCTGCTTTGAGGAGACAGCTCTCCCCAGTCGTCTTTTGAGTGCTTTCCAACCTGGGGGGCTCATCTTCCTGGGGGGCACTGTATCAGACAATGTTCTCTGCTATTCATAAGGTTTTCACTGCTAATTCTTTTCACAAGTAGACTGCCAGGTCCTTCTTCCTAGTCTGTCTTAGTCTGGAAGCTCAGCTGAAACCTGTCCACCATGGGTGACCCTGCTGGTATCTGAATTCTGGTGGTGTAACTTCCAGCATCACAGCAACACGCAAAGCCCCCACAGTATGACAAACTGATAAGACACGTGGAGGTTTTGATACCTAGAATGTTATTATTCAAACTTCATTTGCCCAAGTAAGGCATTATCCCATTAAAATGTAAATATTCCTGATATCAGAAATATGCATCAAAGTAAATCTTTAAAGTCTTTTACATATCAATGTCTGTTGGATAATTAGATCCTCTCCACAATCGTGTTTCATGATTGGCTTGGAATAGAAAAGACAGGAGAACGTTTGAAGACACTCATTACTTAAGACTGGAAAGGAGGGCTACCAAGAAGAAAGGGCACTAGAAGGGATAGCATGAGCATGTCACCTTCCTCAAATTTTCTACTAGAGCTGACACAACCTTCACTCATCTACACCTTTGTTTTTCTGTGTATTGATACAAAATCGGTACTTGGAACTGACATGCTGATCTCAATTTCAACTCTCTAAGCTCTTCTTGATGGATTACATGCCAAAATTGGGAGGGCACTGGGAATTGCAACATAGGCCCTATTTCCAATGTTCTATGCGTACGATCAAAGTTGAAAGATTCACATTGGCAAAGTCTATGTAGTCTGCCATAAGCTGCATCCTGGCCTTAAGGATTCCAGCTTGGTCAACCCGACAAAAGAGAAGATTCAGAACCACTGAGGACAAAGAATTAACTCACTGATAATTGTTTGGCATTTAAAAACTAATTTTATTATTTATAGAACCTTGCTCAAAATTTGTCTTGATGTATTTCTTGCTTGAGTTACTGAAACTGCACACACACATACGTACACACACACAGACACACTGGCCGTGGAGCACACTGAGTGAGGAGTACGTGTGTGCCAGGAACGTGTGCCCTCAAGAGCTGGAATAAATCAACGGACACCCAGCACACAGCTGACCCACTATCTCCTCCAGGAAACCAAACACTATTTCCTTCAAGGTGCTTGTTTTCTAAAATATAAACACCTTTTTTTTTCTCATGATAAATGTAAAATAAATTTTGAAAATACAGAAAAATATAAAAACAAAATGTAAAACAACTATAATTCTGCCTTACAGGGATAATCCTTGCTAACATTCTGAAGTATAACCATCCAGGATTTGTTTTATGCAAATATACACCTGTAACTATCTCTGTCTCTATTTCAAACGTCTCCTTTTATAACCCGCAATTTCCTTTAACATTATATATCTACCTCTTTTAAAGGACTGAATACGATTCCAGTATTTCAATATGCTATGTTTGATTTTGACCAATCCCACACTGATAGTGGATTAAGCTGTTTTCAGTATTTCCACATTCTAAACCACACCAAAATGAACATATTTATTTTACATTTTGAGCACTTGTCCAATTATTAGTGTAAATTCCTAGAGTAGAATTAAGGGTGAAACATATTCACTTTTTAAGCTTTTTACTCTTTTTTGTAAAGTTGGACTCAAAAAGTTTGTACGAATTTACACTTCCAGCTAAATACAGTAGTGTTCACTTGCATGTAACTTTCCAAAATCCTTCAATTTTATTCATATTTGTTAATCTAATACAAAAATAGAGTGTCTCGCTTTGATTTAATTTGCATCCCTTGCATATTTGAGAGGTCAAACAATTTTTCTTACATTTTAAGTGACTTGCATGTTGTTTTTTGTGTGTGAATTGCCCCTTCATGTCCTTTGTCCATTTTTCCATTGGGGCAATAGATTTTTCCAACTATTAAGACACTTATAAAGAATTCAACTGTTTTTCCTGTATGCTGCCACCTTGTTTTGGCTCTCTGCAGACCCACCTAAATATAATTATTTTCCTCAGTCTGACATACACTGCTTCCATAATCTACCCCACACTCCCACAGAATTCAATGTGTAGCCTCACGTTTTCATTTTACTCACCTAGAATAAGAAATGGTGAATTTGCAACTATGATCACAAATGGAACCCCAATGTACAACATCAGGCCAAAGCCACTCACTACTGCCAGGGCAACAGAAATCACTCCAAAGGTTGCAACCCACATTTTGTTTCGTACACAGTCAAACCTGTAAATAAGGAGGGAAAAATCATTTGTGGTGGTAGCTTCCATATTTAAACTCTACCAATTCTTGTCTTGAAAGCCTATGCAGAAACCTCTAGGGCAATTGTTCTCATATTTGGCTGCTAGAGACCTTTAATTCCCAGGCCCTAGGAGCCCTGGTGGTGCAGTGATCAAGAGCTTGGCTGCTAACCGAAAGGTCGGCAGTTCGAACCCACCAGCAGCTCCATGGAAGAAAGACGTGGCAGTCCGCTTCCATAAAGATTAACCAAACCCACTGCCATTAATTCAATTCTGACTGGTAGCGACCTTATAGGACAGAGTAGAACTGCCCCTTGGAGCTTCCAAGGCTGTAAATCTTTACAGAGGCAGACTGCCACATCCTTCTCCCATGGAGCGGCTAGTGGGTTCGAACTGCTGACCCTTCGGTTAGCAGCCAAGCACTTAACCACCGCACCAGGGCATCTTGGAAACCCTATGGGGCAATTCTACTCTGTCCTATAAGGTCACCATGAGTCAGAATCAATTTGATGGCAATGGGTGATCCCAGATCAACTGGAAAAAAAAAAAGAAAGAGGGGACAGGGAAGTTGGGAATCTGTACTTTTATCAGGCTCTCCAGGGCAATTCTTATGCAGCCAGCCCAGCACTGATCCACTGACTGGCATTTCGGAACCAAAGACGATATACGAAACCACTGCAGAGAGTTCATTCGTTCCCCTGTGATCTTCAAAGGATAACAAACGGGCAATGGAAGGCAAGCTCTCCCTGAGAAAGAACCCCTATCCAGTTGTCTTCTCATCTATCCCCCAACTCCAAGTGACCATAAAAATAATCCTAAATAGGTCCTGCATTTCAAAGCTATTTCAGTGTATTCGGTGTTTACAAAAAAGTAGGAAAGCCTTCTTCTAAAACATTTTCAGGATTCTCCTCTACTGGTGAAGTAGACCCTGTGAAAAAGTTGCCATTCATTGCAAACGAATTAGAAGTGGAGTCTGTTTTGAATGACCCAACTGATGCCTGTTTCCTTGTCAGACCGACAGAAACGGGGATGGACACACACAAGATTTTAAATATGGGTTCAGGGCTCTACCTCCCTAACATCAACGTTCTGTTTTTAAATACGACAACGTCTGGTTTTAGATTTTGCTTTTTTGGAAAGTGCTTCAGAACAAATGACTCACACCTGCTCCAGATACGTTTGCTAAAAGGGGAGAAACGAAGTCTGGAACTGAAGACCAGGAGAGACAGCAGAGGCACTGCAGCCACTGATTCCAAAACAGGAACATGACCGAAGACCTTCTTCAGACACGCCTACATTTAAATAGCTAAACTTTCTAAGGAGTATTAAAATTTCTGCACTGTGGCAGTACGTCATTTTTTCTCAACCTGCTGGTGCCACAAGTTAAAAGCAGGGTCCCAAACCAAAACACAGACACGCACGCAAAAAAAAAAATTCCAGGGCAAAAGTAGATTACCTTGTGATAATAAAATTTGATTAAAACAAACATTTTCTTAAAACAACAATGTTGGTTTATAGGGTTTTAGTTTAAGAAAAAAAAAGATGAGCTGTGAAGTCAGAAAGATTAATGACGATAAAAGTAACATCTGACATGTTTATTTTCATTCTCTCTTCCACGTTTCTTGAGTTTTTGGTGAATTTTTGTAAGATCTCTATTATTGGCTACAGTGACGTTACTCACTGTGCTGACTTTCTCTCAGTGACCTCTCCTCTACTGCTCAGCAGGTACTGGAGGGAAAAGAGAGAACTCTAGGAGTTTGATGTATACATTTGCAGATACCCCAGTTCCCAAGGAGGACCTTTGTTTAAGCAGTTCATCAGAACCACCTAAGGAAATTCTCAAAAATTTAGATTTCCTGGAAACTAGCCCTGCAGATTCTGATTCAGTATGTTTGTAGTTAAGCTGCAGAATCTAAACATTCACAATTTTCCTTAGATGATTCCAATGCTCAGATAGACCTGGCCATAACCGGCAGCAAAATAGCTCATTTCCAGAATTTTCTCCTGGCGAAGCAGGGAAGGGCTAAATTAGAAATTACTGTTCTTAAAAGCTGTGTATCTGCTTGGTGAGGGATCTGCATCTTTCCTGAAAGGTAATGGTGTCTATCATGAGTAAACAAAAGTTTATAGTGTATTTGAGAAAGGAAAGGTTTTCAAGATTTCACCAGAAATTGATCTAATATTTGATATAAATTCTGTAAATCCAGAATATCAGCTGATTTTGAAATACTCTGGAAGCTCAATATAGCATTACTTGCTTTAGAATGAATGAAGTTCAATTTGGAGCATAAATTTTTATAGACAGCTTATTATTCTTCAAATGATTCACTAAAATGTCTCCTAATAGGGTTCTGTATAAGGTAAATAAATGCATATATGCATAAATTTCATGCATAAGTGTGTGTAAGAGAAGCAGCCTAAGGATGTCACAGAGACTGACTGAGGCCCTTCGCCCGTCTGAATAGCGACAAGACGTCCTCAGTACAGCGGAGGAGGGGGCGCAAGGGGCTTCCAAGGAATCTACAAAAGCACCTATAGGAGATCAGTTTTATATTCACGCCCAGAGAAGGCATGTATCAGACCATCATGGCAGCATCTGTGACTCAAGAATTTTCCTGCTCCCTTTCCTTCCTTGGAGCCCTGGTGGCGCAGTGGTTAAGAGCTTGGCTCCTAACCAAAAGTTGGCAGTTTGAATCCACCAACTGCTTCTTGGAAATCCTTTGGGGCAGTTCTACTCTGTCCTATAGAGCCGTTATCAGTCGGGGTTGGTTTGGTTTCTTCCCTTCCTTGAGCATCAGCTCAACGACGTGGAAGAGGAGAGGAGGTGATGGAAGAACCCTGGCAAGCCCTTTTACCCACTGAGGGCTTATCCCACGCGGCAAACACTTTAAGCTCAAATTAAGTTACCACTTTTGTTTATTACATAGACATGGACATCTTAGTTCTGACTGGAGGACTCTGTATTACCCAAGAACGGCCCCAAAATTGCTGAGACCTGCCTGAATTTTCACAGGGCAGAGGAAAAACCTGCTCTACTTACGAAATTTAAAGGGAACAAAGGGACACAAAAATAAAGTTCATTTATGTTTACACCTCACAAGTCCTACTTGTTTAACGTGTTGGTTACATAAGCATAAAAAAGTCTTCGTCGGACAAATATAAATCGTTTTCTAATTGCCTTCAATATTAGACTATCTGCATTATTGTCCACAATAATTCTTATAGATTAGACTATAAACTTGTATTTTCAGAACTAAGTATCTAATAGAAAAGTTTTGTCAAACCAGTTACTGGTGCCTTATAGATTCCATACTATTTTTAAAAATTATCTACTTTTAAAAAGTATCTACCTAATTCAACGAAACTGAGCTTTGTTTGCTGCTTTATTTCTATCTCGTTTGTTTGTTCATTTCTCTATTTTCTAAGGGATATAGTTTTCCTTTCCAGAATAATGAAAATTACAAGATAATTTACTAACCTGAGAGTGAGATCCACTATTCCCTTTACCTACTAGGGCCCCTTCTTTCTTAAATCTATAGGGTTAAATTACATAATTTGATCCTAAACCTACCTACCAAACCTGCTGCCATCAAGTCGATTCGGACCCAATAGTGACCCTACAGGACAGAGTAGAACTGCCTCATAGGGTTTCCAAAGAGTGACTAGTGGATTAGAACTGCTGACCTTTTGGTCAGCAGCTGACCTCTTAACCACTGCGCCACCAGGGCTCCTAAATCTACTTACACATGAGAATCTGCAAAATAACTTTTTTGATATATAGATTCCTAGATTTAACCCCCAGATATTCTGATTCAGGAAGGCAGGGCCTGAGAGTACACACTTTTAGGGCTCTGGAGGTGACTGATGTGAGAATCCTTGGAATAAAATAATCTCTGTGGTTCCTTCTACATCGGAATTCTATGGTTTGCTGATAATGTCCGTATTTTAACTTTCTGATCACAAGAGCTCAAACTAATCCTAATGCCTAGACAAGAATTTTTAAGTGCTCAACAAGGTACACCCCACATCAGAACAATGGAGACACCCAAGTCAATTAAGCTAGAGCTTATTTTCTTACATAGGTGCTTTCCAAGTGGAACAATTAATAAGATGAAATATGTAAGGTAAAAAGGATATGCCAAATCAAACGGAACTGGCCACAATTTCTTTTTACCATTCCATTTGATTGTATGCTGCTGCTGATGGTCAAAATAAGAAGTGGTCAGCCTTAAAAAGTAAGAGCTTAAAAAAGTAAGAGTGTTTTACCTGTAACATGATATGACTGCAAATAATATGATTAGAAGGTATGCCAAGTGAAACAGAGGGATCACTGTCCTAGAAGTTGCCTCAAATTCCAATTGTCTGGAAAGTGACGTAAAGTAGACCGCCTGCCACAAAAATATTTACTCAGGTAAATAACTTTTAATTCCACTGTTTGCATGTGAGTCACAAACACTATTGAAACACTGTCGTCTACTGATCCAAACAATATGTTAAAATTAAGTCAAAGGTCAAAACACATGGGTTATGATTTTAGAATAAAGAAGACCATGTAGCTTTGCTTTCTCCTACAAATCCATGGTGTACTTTCCAAAGTTTTTTGCAAAATTCCAAAGCTTTAAAACTCCTGCATTCACGAAATTTGAATTTTATATAACACTGTGAAATCTGGACCACACTCATAGCTGTAGAAATTATGGTTTCCTCTCACGTTATATGAGGGCAGTATCTTTTACTATTTTAATTGCATTGATATCATTTCAGGGAGGCCTAGTAATCAAAGGCTTTTTCCAGTAGATGCGTAAGTGTGACCAGGCTTATTTAGAAGTACTATCAGTAGGGCTGTTGGCCCAATGATTACTGAACAGCTAACAGGTGCCTGGCACGTGCTTTATCTACGACTAACTTGAAAAATGCCAAGTCAGTTATCTTTTTAAACAACACAACGGAATTTGTGCTAAACTGTTTGTTTTTTAATCCAAATGAGTGTTCCAAACAAGTGTTAGGGGCTCCCAGAGGCCAGCAAACACCTTAGCTAAAAGTAAGAATTTCAAAGCAATTTTACTAGAAAATCAAACCTCAAAACTAAACGTGAAGTTCATGCTTCTACTGCACAGACCTACTCCGAAGCATAAGGGATTTGGGTTATCAACCAGAATGTGAGGAAGGATTTAAGATTTGGGGCTTCCTCCAGACCGTTAACTAAGAAACACAGCAGAGTTCAGCTTTCAGTCCAGGGGCCCACTCCACCAGATGGCCAGGAGTGCCATTGCTACAGTCCTTCCAGCAAGTCTTCATCATCCCACCTTCTCGCCTCCCTCTAAACCCCAGCCGCCAGGTACCTGGATCTTCTTCAGGGCCAGCCCATCCTTCATGTCGCTGAACCGGTTCAGGAAATGGATCAGCCACTTCCGGCTCCTCTCGTTGTCCTCAGCGCGCTCGGTCTGCAGATAGTACTGCAGCCGCAGGGCTCTGGCCTGCACCAGGATCTGGTTCTTCCCCTCCGTCTCGCCCAAGACGATTCCTCCGACGAGGCCGGTCAGATAGATGACCTGATGGTTGAGGTTGTACATGGGGAAGGTGATGTTTTTCAGGTTCAAGTCTTTCTTCCCCTGCCAGGCGGCCAGGAGCGGGTTGGAGGGCACGCAGCCGCCCATGAGCTTGGCGCACACCTGCGCGTACTGGATGCGGGTTCCGTCTTCCTGCACCACGAACAGGGCCTGCACCGCGTGGTCCAGCTTACTGACCTCACTGAAGATGTCGGGTTCCAACAGCGAGGGCGTGTGGGAGAACGCCAGGATGCTGGCGAAATTGACGTCGGTGCTCTTCCTGGTGGCGGAGAAGCGAAGGGAGTCGTTGGTGGTGAAGTGCCCCTGCACGAAGTACCGCTCCTTCTTGGCCGGGCTCCCCACCGGGGAGTACTGCTCCTCCAGGTCCTCCTCTTTGTCCTTCGGCATGTGGACGAAGCCAGTGCCCAGAAGGGCCGTCAGCACCAAGGGCCCCAGCAGGAAGAACCAGGGGTGCGCGCCCACCGCCCAGCCCAGCCGTTGGAAGGCGTGGTTGAGCGGAGTCTCCAGGCAGTCGGTGTGGCAGCGGAGCTTGCTGTCCGCAGACCCCCGGCTGGCCGACTTGTGCGACCAAAGGGACGAGCCCCGACTCACCAAGACCCGGCGCGGCGACGCCTCCTGCGTCCCCGCGAATCGCCTCCCGGCGTGGAGGAGCTCGGACCCCTGCGGCTCCGGCTCCCACTCCGCCTGCGCCTCCGGCTGCCCTGCCCGCGACTCGGGGCTCGGCTCCGCCTCACGCTGGGCTTCGGCTTCTGGAACTACCTTCGACGGGGAACTAAAACTCATTTCCAGGAAGGGAAGGCGAAGTTTTCAAACGGGACAGTCGCTGAAAACACAGCGACTGGACGCAACTCCCATCGCCACCCCGCCCGACGGTTTCTGTTCGAGCTCGGGCTGCTCGCGCCGGCGCCGGAGGCCTGGTTGGGGAGCACGTGGTTTGCAGGGCGATCTGTAGCTTACCCGGCCGGAATTCGTTTGTGGCTTTCCTGTCCTCTGAAGAGTTCAGTTAATCTAAGAAACGCTTCTTAAGGGTGAGTGAAATGCGCGCCTACCCTACACGAACTCAACACCGAAGGGAAGAGAGAAGCTTGTTCACACTGACACACAAGGCACAGCTATTACATAGAGAGGAACCTGGTGGCGTGGAGGTTAACTTGTGTGGCTGCTATCCAAAAGGTTGGCAGTTTGAATCCACCCGGCGCTCCTTGCAAACAATATGGGGCAGTTCTCCCCTCTCCTATAGGGTAGCTATGAGTTGGAATCGACGGGCTTGGTTTTTGGGTTTATTACATAGGATCAGTGTAAGCATGAAGGCTAAATTCTGCTCAAAGCATTGCATCAAGAAGGTAGTGCAATGACATTTTTTAATTGCTGAAAGAAAAAAAAAAAAACTAAAAACCTCAGCCTGGAGTTCAGTTCTCAGGGAAATTATCTTTACAAATGGAAGAGACTTTAAAACGGTAATTAGGAAATATCCCTTGACCACTTAGCTGAAATGGGTAAATTCCTTGCAAGAGAAAACATATCCAAACTGACCCAAGAAAAAGTACATCTGAACAGCTATATATTTTCTAAAGAAATTGAATTTGAAAGAGAAAACCTTCCTATAAAGAAAACCTCAGCCCTAGATGACTTCATTGGTGACTTCTAACATTAAAGAAATGGTATCAACCACATATCATCTATTTCAGAAAACAAAGAAGAAGGAACACTTGTCAGTTTGTTTCCTGAAGGCAGCATAACCTGATATCAAAACCTGAGAAAGACGTAAGAAAAGGGAATTGGAGATCAGTATCCCTCATGAATACTGGAGCAGATATCACTGACAAAATATTTTTTAAAAATCAAAACAGCAGTATATGAAAAGAATAATATGCCATGACCAAATGTGGGTTTTCCCAGGAATGCAAAGTTGGCGCAGTATTAAAAATCATTCTATGTAAATTAACACATTAACATATTAAAAGAAAAAATGATATTATCTTCATAGATGGACCAAAATCGTTTGACAAAATTCAATACCCATTCATGATAAAACTAGGAGTAAAAAAGAGGTTCCCCAATCTGATAGAAGACTTCTATGAAAAACCTCCAGGTAATCATCATATATAAGGACAAATTATCGAGCATGTTCCTTATGAAGTTGGGAATAAGGCAGTGATGTCTGCTTTTAGCACTCTTTTTACATTTTTACTGGATGTTTAGCCAGTGCAGTAAGGCAAGTAAGAGAAATGAAAGAGAGAAAGATTACAAAGAAAAAAATCAAATGGTCTTCCTAGGCATGATGGTTTACATAAAAAAAAATAACTTGAGAAACTACAGAAATCCACAGGATGAGTAAATGAATTTGACAAAGTTACACAATATGAAGAATGTATACCAAAATCAATTGTATTTTTATATACTAGTAAAAAAATTGGAAAACTTATTTAATATTAATATTTGCTATGCCATAAAAATAAAATACTTAGAAGTATATCTATGGGAAACTACATCATATTCCTGAGAGAAATTTAAAAAAGACCTAAATAAATGGAGAGATAACCAACCATGTTGATGGATTGGAAGTCTCAATATGTTAACTACCATTTTCCTCCAAAATGATTTGTAGATATATCTGAACCCAATCAAGATCTCAGCAGGCTTTTTTGAGAAATTGACAAAGGCTTCTAAAATTAATATGTAAGTGCGGAGGACCTAGAATGGCCAAAAGAATTTGGAAAAGAAGAAAAATGTTGGACAACTTACACAACCTAGTTTTGAGAATTAATAGAAAGCTTCAGTGATCAAGGCAGTGTGGTATTGGCCTTAGCGTAGATGAACAGGTCAATGGAACAGAAACAAAGCCTCACATAAATGATCACTTGTGTTTTTTGACAAAAGGTACATATTAATCCTATGCAGAAAGGATAGTCTTTTCACAAATGATGCTGGAACAACTGGATAACTATCATGGGAAGAAAATGAACCTTTATCCAGGTATTTGTGTTCCAACAAACACGACATTAATTAGTGGTGGATCATAGACCTAAATGTAAAAATTAAAACTGTTAAGCTTTGAGGGGAAAACATAGATGAATTTCTTTGCCGCTTTGGAGTAGGCAAATAAATGTTGGTAAGACAGAAAGCACTAACCATTTATCAACTTTAAAAACTTCTGCTCATCAAAAGACACAGCTAAGAAAACGCATAGAAAAGCCTTAGACTAGGAGAAATAATTCGCAGTATATGTATTTGACAAAGGACTTAGAATATATAAAACTTAAAAATGACAAACAACCCAATAAAAATGGGCAAAGGACTTTAACAAAACACTTCAAAAAAATAAATGAATGGCAATAAGCACATAAAATGTCATCGGGGAAGTAAAAGTTGAAAACACAGTGAGATACCATTCCATCCCCAATAACCAAAACCAAATCCAAACCCACTGCCATCGAGTTAATTCCAACTCATGGTGACCCTATGTATTACAGAGTAGACCCGAGCTCCATAGGGTTTTCTTTGCTGTAGTCGCTACAGAAGCAGATAGCCTGGCCTTTCTTACATGGTGCCAATGGGTGGGTTTGAACCACCAACCTTTCGTTTAGTAGTAGAGCAAACTGTCTAGATGGCTAAAATTAAAAAGACTTGCAATACCAAATATTGATAACGATGTGGGGCAACTCTAGAGGGCAGGCCAGGCTTCTTGGGCGTTTCACTACACTCAGAAGGGGCCCTATCTTTGGTTTTATGCTCTGCTATTGCTGACTTGAAAAATTCTTAATAATTTTATCTTTGAACCTGTGTTTTGTAAGTGAAGTCCAATGGGATAACACAATATCCGCCATGAGTATAGGGGATGTATTAGGTGGCAGCGTGTGCATGAGTGGCTCAGGCATGTGGGCGGGGTGGGCAGTGGGAAGTGTGTATGTCAAACAGTTGACTTGGTTGCTTGGTGCAGACAGGCGTTCCAGTGACAGTCATGCTTGCCACATGGCCCCAAGGGAGCAGCTAGTACCAGGCCGTGGGTCCAGATTGGCAGTGGCAGTGGAGCAGTGTGGGGGGGACGCCAGCTTGGTTGTTGTCTCTGGAGCCCATTCCTGTAGCATCTGTATAAATATTAACTCAGCAGCGCTCAGACAGGAACTGCCAGCACTCAGTCAGTAAACTTTGCCAGTAAATTATTACAAGATGTAAGTGTTCGTATGGAACATGCATTCAACATTGCAATAAAGCATATTAAGGAGTTATTAAAATTCTTCAGAGTTTAGAATCTGTGGTTTTGAAACTGCTGCAAGCATTGTAAAGCAAATATCCAACCAAAAAACCCGTTGCCATTGAGTTGATTCTGACTCATGGCAACCCCATGTGTGTAGAGTAGACGGTGGTCCATAGGGTTTTCAAGGCTGTGACCTTTCGGAAGCTGATCACCAGGCCTTTCTTCCTAGTCCCTATTAATCTGGAAGCTCCACTGAGACTTGTTCAGCATCGTAGCAACACACAAGCTTCCAATGACAGATGGGTGGTGGCTGCACACGACCCTCACGGAAGGTGAGAATTCTACCACCGAACCACCGCTCATAGACGCCCACTGACCAGTGGACTACGGAAGACTATTATTGAATTGTTGAGGGAAGATGTTACCATAAAAGAATTAGGATTAAATAAAAACATTTTAGAAAAATAGACCTTCCCAATCCTTAAAAAAGAACTATCGAAGAATGCCCTACAATAAGGAAAGATGGGAAGGCAAGGAGCAAAATGGAGCAAAGAAATTGGTAAAGTAGGTAAATACAAATAATGAAAAATTGTGAATGGTTTTAAACACTATATACTGTACCAGGCAAAACAGAAGATCAGAGTTAGATCATCTTTTCTAAAAAAAAAAATATTGTGTTTTTGGTGAAGGTTTACACAGCAATTTAGGTGCCCATCCAACAATTTCTGCAGAAGTTGTTCTGTGACATTGGTTACATTCTTCACAATGTGTGAACATTCTTATTATTTCTGTTCTGGTTGTTCCATTTCCATTAATCTAGTTTTCCTACCCCCTTACATTCTCATCTTTCTTTTAAAGTGATTGTTGACCGTTTGGGCTCATATAGGTGATTTTTTTAAAGGAGCACAGTACTTATGGGTGTAGTCATTATTTTTTGAGGCGATTTGTTATTTAGCTATAAGGGGTTAGTTTAGCTCAGGGGTTAGTTTCAGTACAAGGTTTGAAAAGTATCTCCGGGATGATATTGGAGCCATTATTCCCTGTCCTTAAGTATAAAGAATGTCACCCAGATGGAGCTGGACTCACAAGGACGCAGAAGGGCTCACAAAGACACATCAACTGAGCCCTGAGGTATAAAGACAATAGCTAGGACAATCTTGGAAAACATCTTTGAGGGAATCTTTCACATAAATAAATCATAAACAGAGCACAAAAGACATGTACTTTCCACTCTCATATTTTCCTATTAGCATTTAGTGAATAAGATTTGTTGGCCAAATGAAGACCCTCCTGACTGTTGCTGCTGAAACCTGTACCAATGATGATTAAGAAAGACAATTCAAAATGTAGAATCACGGTGGTTTGGCAGTTTTTAGCCAATCTGTGGAAAGGTGAAGCTTTCAATGACTGTACCCATTTGTAATGTTAACATATACTGGTGATTCTTGTCATGGATTGAATTGTGGCCCCCAAAATATCACAACTTGGCTAGGTCATGATTCCCAGTATTGTATGATTGTGTAATCTGATGTGATTTCCTTATGTGTTGTAAACTCTATCACTATGATGACGTTATACTGATGAC